TTAGTCATCCCATCACTCATTAGTGGTTTCAGACAGGAATATAGACTTTTGCTAAGAACCTTGTACTTTTAGACATGCACAAGATATGTTTGTTAATATTTAGTTTTGCATAGTTGATATTTAATCCAGCATGTGATATGGCTTGATGTTATGTAAACTTATGCAAAAAAGAACTTTTGAATCCAAGTTTCATAAGCTTCATATAATCTAAAATCATCGTTTACAATAAATAGAACTTGTTATATTTAAGTAATAAAGTATCTTTGAAAATAAATATTCTAATCTTGGAAGATTTTACAATTAACGAAATGAGAGATTTGAAGAAAAATTAAAAGAAAATTGTTTTAAAATTTCAAGCATTTGTGAAAAGATGAATAAATAGAGAATTTTAGTCAAATTTGTCTTTCATGATACCAGATACTCTGTTTACAATAAATAGAACTTGTTATATTTAAGTACTAAAGTATCTTTGAAACTATATTCTATTCTTGGAAGATTTTACAATTAACGAAATGAGAGATTTGAAGAAAAATTAAAAGAAAATTGTTTTCAAATCTCAAGCATTTGTGAAAAGATGAATAAATAGAGAATTTTAGTCAAATTTGTCTTTCATGATACCAGATACTCTGTTTAATAATTTAATACTAAAATAGTATTATTTGAATTTAAAAATTATTTATTTATATTTTTCTAAACTTAACTTTTCACTAAAGTTTCATGTATAAATCATGAAACTTCAGTGAAACATGAACCATCTGGCAATTTATGTCTTTGTTAATATTAATAATTAATCCACTCCTTTTTCTAATGCAAAATATTTAAATTATTACTTTTGCTATTTCCTTAAAACTTCTATAGAAAAGTAAAGGTAGAGTATCTCTTTCCTTGTGTAGAATTTGGGTTATTTAAGGTATTAAAAATCACAAGAATATCATATTTAATCTAGCATATCTTCCTCTCTTATCTATTCTATAGGTTCTATTCATGTACTACCCCTCTTGACTTTTTGCATTTGTAATATTTAATGTATTGGCATGATAATGTTTTTTATTTTTATATTCCTGGCCTTAATATATTATGTGACTTTTCAGTATTCTACAGTCTAAACTTAACTTTCAGATAATAATAATAAAGACAAGTATAATTTATCTTTTGAAAATTTCTTTATATTGTTTTTATTCAAATATGTCATTATAATTCTCAGTAAATTTAAGTAATTTAAGACAAAATCTTTGATTTGTTTTTCTGTTTTGATTCTTTCTGTCCTCTGTGCACTAGTCCTTTTCTTCCATACACATCATGGGTTCAGCCAGGAAACTGGATGATGAAGGATGCAATCGAAAATACAACAGTTGCATCCTTGTTCCTCCAACATGATGCAACAGATGATGAAGGATGGGGTGTGACATAATTAGGCAGACTGCCCATGAAAAATTTCTCAGGTTATTTTGACTGCCAAAATTCTATTTGTGACAGTTTGAATGTAACACTAACCACAACTCGACTTATATACAGAGCAATAGGTTACCACCTTGGCCACCATTCAGCTGTTTATTTTTTTTTTCTGAAATCTTCCTTTTTTGCTGTAAGATCATTATTTCCTTCATTCAACTGAGGTAATTCTCTTGTCAGAAATTTAAACAGAGTGTATGTTTCAATTGCTATTTTTTTTCCTTATATTTCTTCATATTTAGATCCAACATTTTTATCTAAGTAGAAAATAAAACCAATGAGCGCATTTAATCTAATATTAACTTGACAGTTATATTACTTTCATTTTACCTATTTGTAAATAGCTTGTTAACATTTATCTTACAAATAATTAAAAATCATCCAAGTGTTAAAATTTAATAATAGATTTTCTGTCATAAATTGTTGTTCTACTATAATTGCTGCACAATCTTGAAGATGCTAACATAAAATTAATTGAAATATTTAAATTTTTTACCTAAATGTTATAAATTAATTAAACCTAATAATGTTTATTACTTGACCATCCTACACAACCATTTACAGCAGCAAAAAAGATGTATTAAACTAGAAAAAACTAAGGTTTTTAGTCATATTTAAATTAATGACCTTCATCGGATTGTTGTTTGAAAAATTGAACTTTTACAAGTACTAATGGAAATAGAACAGAAATGTACAAACACTGAATGTGTTTAATTATAAAAAATAAAATGAGATAGCAGATTATAGAATTTTTTATATTTAAAGATGTTCAGAATTTGCATATTTCTATTCTATTTCCATTAGTATTTGTAAATGTTTCATTTTTGGAACTTTGACCTAATGGTTATTAAATGCAACTGAAAATATTAGTTTTTCCAGTTTAATAAACCTTTATTGTTGCTGTATGAGATTGTGTGTAGATGATTAAGTTCTTTGTTTCACAGGAATCTTTTTATTTACAAGGTTACCAGTTATATAATACAAGACCTTAAACTCTGTATCTAGAAGATAAATGTTATGCATTGATTAATATCTTAATTTGTTTTTATCCTGTATCTTATATACAGTTTATAACTATTCTCTACAGTTACAAAATTCCTAACTGGATGCATCTCATTAAAACTGTACAAGACTAATTTAATTGTTTAAAAATATTTATTGCATTGTCTTCATTGAAATAAATTATGTGCAGTTTTTATAATCAAAATGATTTCTAAATTATATAATTCTCTTTATATTTGGAGCTGTAGAAAATATTAAGAATATAATAATTTTCTAACATTCTGAAAACATTAATTTGATATGGTAAACATACAAATACTTAAAAATTCACTGTTTTGTCTTAAAATAGCAGAAAAACAAAATTAATTTTCTTGAGATTTTTTAACTCTTCTTGCTNCCAATGAGCGCATTTAATCTAATATTAACTTGACAGTTATATTACTTTCATTTTACCTATTTGTAAATAGCTTGTTGACATTTATCTTACAAATAATTAAAAATCATCCAAGTGTTAAAATTTAATAATAGATTTTCTGTCATAAATTGTTGTTCTACTGTAATTGCTGCACAATCTTGAAGATGCTAACATAAAATTAATTGAAATATTTAAATTTTTTACCTAAATGTTATAAATTAATTAAACCTAATAATGTAAACATAATACTTTTTAAGATCTGTTTATAACATTTTTTTAATGCACTGTAATTTATTAATCTAAGTAATTTAATATTTTTAATTGTCTCACTATTAAAATGATTTTTTTGTAGTTTATTAGTAATTATTGTAGATACTACATTTGAAGAAAAATTTTAGAAATTTATGTTATATTTTACATATTTTTACCAACACAAGCATCATCATTGTAAAAAAAGTACAAGAATAAGTTCTTTGTTTCACATAGTAACTGCTATAGTTTATCACTTGACCATCATACACAACCTTGTACAGCAGCAAAAAAGATTTATTAAACTAGAAAAAACTAAGGTTTTTAGTCATATTTAAATTAATGACCTTCATCGGATTGTTGTTTGAAACATTGAACATTTACAAGTACTAATGGAAATAGAACAGAAATGTGCAAACACTGAATATGTTTAATTATAAAAAATAAAATGAGGTAGCAGATTATAGAATTTTTTATATTTAAAGATGTTTGGCATTTGCATATTTCTGTTCTATTTCCATCAGTATTTGTAAATGTTTGATTTTTGGAACTTTGACTTAATGGTCATTAAATGGAACTAAAAATGTTAGTTTTTCCAGTTTAATAATCCTTTTTTGTTGCTGTACAAGATTGTGTGTAGATGATTAAGTTCTTTGTTTTACAGGAATCTTTTTATTTACAAGGTTACCAGTTATATAATACAAGACCTTAAACTCTGTATCTTGAAGATAAATGTTATGCATTGATTAAATATCTTAATTTGTTTTTATCCTGTATCTTATATACATTTTATAACTGTTCTCTACAGTTGCTGAATTCCTAACTGGATGCATCTTATTAAAACTGTACAAGACTAATTTAATTGTTTAAAAATATTTATTGCATTGTCTTCATTGAAATAAATTATGTGCAGTTTTTATAATCAAAATGATTTCTAAATTATATAATTCTCTTTATATTTGGAGCTGTAGAAAATATTAAGAATATAATAATTTTCTAACATTCTGAAAACATTAATTTGATATGGTAAACATACAAATACTTAAAAATTCACTGTTTTGTCTTAAAATAGCAGAAAAACAAAATTAATTTTCTTGAGATTTTTTAACTCTTCTTGCTGTGGACACCAAGAAGATCCTTCTTCTCATGTCGGTTGTGGTTTGGCAAGGTTCCAATGGGCACGAGAAACATTAGATAGTGATGACAGATGGGAACCCAACATATCTGGGATGGACCATCCTTGAAAACATTCTTAGGGTTTTTCAACTGTCTAGATTTGATTCTGGGATCCACAGAGTGATAGACTCTTTTTTCCTGTAATCATTGTGGGTTTGGCCAGCCTGGAATAGGGATGGTCGGGTGGTGAAGGATGAAACCTGACATATTCAGGACAGAGCGTCCACAAAAAATTTCTGGGGATGCTACCCTGGATTTGATGCCAGATTTCCCAGATTGACAGACTGATACCTTAATTGCCTCAGCCACCTGGCCAAATGATTCTGATTAGAAATTTTATTATTAACCTAACAGTTTATAAATTGATACTAATTTTTTATTTTATACAGATTTTACTTATATTTTCTATCAGATGAAATAAGTAGTAGTTTTCATCATTTAACACTTGTCTGATTTGCTGTAGCTTCAGTAGTCTTAATGACATTCAAATATTAATAATTTTATAAGTTTTAAATGTTTTTTTATTGTATAAACCTGAAATTAAAGATATTAAATATATAATTATAAAACTGAAAAAGTAAAATTTTTCTATTATTATTTAGGCACTTCTACAAGCCCATGATTTGGCACATGAGGTATATGGGAAAGATGCAATTCAACTTATATTTCCTAACTGAAAAAGTAAAATTTTTCTATTATTATTTAGGCACTTCTACAAGCCCATGATGTTTTGGAAAATGTTACAAGAGTACGACTTGTGCAGTTTCAGAAAAACGCAGATGAACCAATGGTTAGTATAAAGCTGTACAATGTAATATCATAATCTGTTAGTGTGATATTAATATGTAATCTATATTGGTATAATGTCTGCTTATTATAAATTAGATGTTAAAAGTAAATATTACATAATAATTAACATATCAGTTTGTTAAAATCATATAAATTGATAAGAGGAATGAACAATGAGCAGTGGAGGATTAACCACCAAGCTGAATATGCTTAAGCTAGGAGTTCTGAAATGGAGCCTAAGAGTAAAAAAACAAATAAGCAAATAGTTTAACTGATATTTTATTACACTGATGTGTTATTTATCTTATTTAATGTAACTTAATGTCACTTTATTCTATGTCGTTCTATTTGAAAAAAGCTAGGATGGGAAGCCTTACTAAAGCTCAGCCTAGGGTATCAGGTGCTAGTTAATCCACCACTGACAATCAGTCTGTGTGTATTTCTTATTTTGATTCTCTTCATTTATCCACATATCTTACATTTTTTAATATAAAAATGATGGCTTTACAGTGGAACAAGTGAGTGATCCAAAAAATGAATTTCTCAGAATCATGATTCGTATTAATCTGAATGTGAAACATTACATATTATGCTAAAAGAAAGTAAAAAATCAAATTTTCTTCCCATAAATGTTTTTGTAATGTAATAAATATTGAAATAGTACACAAAGAAAAAAATTGGTACAAAAAAAAATTCAAGGAAAGCTACAAAATTACTACAGACAAAAATAATATTAACAAGAATCTAAGCCTTGACATTCATAAAAACTGGCTGCAATTATTAAAATAGAATGTTTATACAGTCGCAGGGGAGGCTGTGTGCAGCACTCGGGGAAGTGAGACGTTAAAAGTTACGAGGCATGCGGGGGAGGCCGTCAAGTTGGGAGGAGAGGAAAGGGAAGGGAATTGGAAAGTACGTAAGGTGCCTGACTGATACTGTATACACAAAATACAACCTATCGATGTAACAGACTGAAGAGAGGCGAAAGCCCAAAATGCATATCTGTATGAATAAAAAGTGGATGATGAAATTATTTGCCAAGTGTCGATAAATGCACCAAGTCATGACATAGAATTAGAAGAAACAAGAAGAAGAAGACACAGTTTCGACAAATAAATAAAATATATGTTTTCCTTCAAAGGGTGGCAGCTGTCGGAACTAAGATCAGTATGTCATCTGCATATGATATAGAATGTATTGTTTGGTTGTTGAACATAAAAACGTCATCTTCTCTAGTAAAGCACATATTCAAATCGAACATATAAAAGTTAAATAAGTATAGAGACCAAGGATCTCTTTGTAATAAGCCGCAACTAATTTCAAAACCCGGCCATAAAATGTTATTCTGTTTTATCACAACTTCATACTGACCAAACAACAATTCTACAGCTCTTATTAATTTATCTTCTGCTTGACAAGTTATTGTTTTCATCGGTAATATTGGAGTTGAAACTGAGTCATATGCCTTTTCTATATCTAAAAATAGAGCGAACACTTTGCGTCTTTTTTTCCGGAGCTGAAGTTGTATTACTGCCAATAAGACAAAGAGTGCCACTTGAGTTCCTCCATCTCTGTTGAATGCATATTAAGTATGATTTTTAAAGTTGTTTTTTTCAGTCTGAATCTTGTGAGAAGAATTGAAGTATACAGTTTTCGGAATCCAGACAATAGTGCGATTCGACAGTAGTTGGATGGTTGTTTCTTTGCACCTTTCTTAAACAGTATATACAGTATTAAAAAAGTATTGATTTAATTTTTGTATGTCAAGCATAAAAATTGTTTATTTTAAATAAAAGCACATAACTGAGTGCTTAGATACAATGGACACAAAATATTAAAAAAAACAGCAGATTTATTGAAGAAAACAAATGTTTTCAACTAGTTTTAGTAATCATCTTGGGTTAGAATAAAAGAGCAGAAATTTGAATGTAAATTTCAATTGTATTGAACCTGTATCTGATTAGATGCAGTGGGATTGTCATTGCTGCTGTTTACAAACTACACCTTATCACAAGCATGGAGTTTTTTGAGGTTGATCAAAACAAGAATTTCATTTGTAAACAGCAACAATGATGATTAATGCTGTGTCCAATCAAATGCTTGTTTGATATGTTTGAAATTTATGTTTCAATTCCAGCTCTTTTATTCTAACCCAAGGATAATTACTAAACAAATTTTAAATTTATCTTTGAATTGTTAAAAATTACTTCTATTGAAAAAATTTATATATTACCCATATATATATTTAACATTTTAATATTAATATTAGCATAATAATTAACTTTTTGTTGATGATAATTTTTAAATTATTTATTGTATGTTAGTAGAGTTTGTAGCATTCTTTCTTATTTAGCAACTGAGATACATGCATCTGTCTCTACATCTCTGAGTTCACCACGTTCTGCCCAATTTTCCTTCATGTCATTACTTACTCTATTCAAGCAAATAATATCTGTGTCTTTTCTCATTTTCCTTCTATTTCTCTCTATATACATTGATTTTCCACTGAATATTACAATGTAAAATACAGAGAACTTGATGTGTTGTATTACATTACATTTCCGATTTTATTTTTTAGGGAATGACTCTGAAATTGGATGAAGAGGGAAGATGTCTAGTAGCTCGTATAATGCATGGTGGAATGATACATAAACAAGGTAATGAATTTCTAATACGACTTAATAATTAATGTTAAAATTCATTACTGTTTAAGATAAAATTTGTGTAATTATCTAAATGATTTGGTCATCTTGAATTTAAAAGTAATTAAAAAAAAATTATATTTATTGATTATTGCAGTTTGTATTCAGTCGCATTTGTTTTCTATTCCAAAAATTATACTAAAATTTCAAGTAAATATAACAGAAGAAATATTGGAATAGCAATTCAAGTTCCATTATCAACAAAGCTTATTTAATAAATTATGTCATTTAAAATATAATTGATAATTTTGATACTTTATAATATTAAAAAGAAACTTAAAAGTTCTCTAAAATACTTTAAAAAAAACATTAAAAGACTTTCTTTATAATTTGTCTTCTTCATACATGTTGGGAAAAAAGTCAAACAGCAAAGTTAGCCTTTATTTTGAGGCTTTTCTCTGCCTCAGTGTGTAAAATTTACTAACAATGATCTCTCTGTTGGAAGCACAATGTAAAAATACATTGTGGTAAAAAATCCAGGTCAAATATACAATTAGAAAATTTTCTAATATACTTCAAAGAATAAAAATGAAGAGATTATTGACTCTGTCATTTGATTTTCTCATGTTTTGAGGTGTACTGTACATGAAAAGAACAAAATAATGTATTGTCTTGCTTTTTAATCACATATTTGTTCAGCATTTTTTTACCAATTAAGAAAATTCACTGATATAAAAAGTTTAATTGAAATGACTTAGTTTTATTAACTTCACTTTGAAATCGAAAAGAGATGCTACTACTGTTAATCATTACTTTTCTAAAAAAAAAGAATTCTAATTCCAACCTGTTATTCTATCAATTAAAGTTTTTTGTCTCAAAATGTATTTACAATAGAATTTCCCAAACACTTAATTTGTGGAGATATATGTAGAGACTTATCACACTATTATTAGGAACATTACAATGACACTTTGATGTTTGATAAGCAACTTTTATTACTGGTATGCATTTCAGTCACAAAGACCCTTTTCAGCTGTATATGAATATAATGATAACTACAACAGATATAAACATTTAATTAAAATTTATATCTGTTGTAGTTATTATTGTATTCATGATTGAAATGCATATCAGTAATAAAAGTTACTTATCAAACAGCAAATTATCATTGTAATGTTCCTAATAACAGTGATAAGTCACCATGAGTTAAGTATTTGAGGACTCCTATTGTGTCTAACTTGTTATATTTTGTGTTATAAGTTATACAGTTTTTTTTCTTCTTTTAATCATACTGTTTTTATTACTATCTATTTATTGTTTAAGATAAGCATATAGATATCTTAATTTATATTATTGAAGAGTAAATATATAGGATCACATTAACTGTAGGGTATTAAGGACTTTATTCCCATTTTCTACCATGGCTGTCAACAAAGAGAAAGTTTTTACACTAGGCCCAATTTTATTATCTTACAAAACTTTTTATAAGATACAAGTATATTCTGCTCATTTTAACTTTACTATCTTTATGCAGATTCTTGTGTTAACAATAGACATTGAGGCTCAAAGTATGAGATATTAGGGTTCCATACACAACGTTTCCTTTAAATATTTCTTTAAAGGAATATTTTCTTTTTTTTTTTTTTTTTTTGAGGCACCACTCAAAATATAGCAGAACAATGTCTTCATTATGTCCTTTCATACACCTTAGGAGCAAAATTTTCCCAGTAAAGCTTCTGGTGATTTTTCTGGGTTTTTGTTTTCCTTGTTCTATTTTTTAATATCAATGCCATCCTGACCAATGTGTTAATTAATGTATTTTAATTAGTTTATTTTGCCATCACCCTGGAAGATTTTAACTGCTTTTTGCATGTTATGGTGGATGAGTAGCCACTAATAAAATGTTTACTTAATAAGGAAAAAAGTTGTGTTCCTGAGGTATGTGAAAGGATGTAATAAAGACATTTATTGCTTAGTTATACTATTTTTAAAATAATAATGTCATCCAGGCTAATGTGTTAATACAGACACCATCTACATATATATAGGTGTTTATATTAACACATTATATATTGTTTATTATGTATTAACACCTATATATAGCTACTACTGCAAGAATGCTAGCCAACAGACTGGCAGAACATCTGGATGACATTACACACAAGAAACACATCACTAAAATTGTCAAGAAACTTTGAATCATGTCTATGATCCCAATATTTATCATCAACAAATCATTTCATAAAGCAAACTTGTCTTTTTAATACTATTTAAATTTCAGTTTTATTTATGATTAAGATTATTATAATAAAGTTTTACTTTAAATGATAAAATATTGTAAATTTAGTAAGTTTTTTAAGGACAGTAGACCCCTATAACGCTTAGATACGTTCCACTTTATAAGAATTTTACATTGTAGGAATCTTTAAATACATGAGCCAATCACAGCCTGACACGTTTACGGACTAAGGCTGTTTGAAATGTTTTCTTCTATAANACGTATAATTTTTTGGGAATAATCCGTATAAACTATGCTATAAACAAAAAATTGTAGAAATACTTACAGAGTGTGCACCGTTCGACTACGCCATTGCTTACGCTTGTTTTCGTCGCGAAGCAGTGCATCAAACGGCGCCCGTGTTTTCTGATAAATTATTTTTCTGCGAAAAATTCGTTGACCTTTGGAGACATCATTAATAGAAATAATTTTTATGGCTGTTGAATAAGAAATGTTTTTTTCACAAGAAATGTATAAAATTAGTGCTGTATTAGATTTACGGTACCTAATTTACATACTGTACAGACGATAGTAAACTCAACCTACTCGCCTAAACTTTATGTAGCGTGGCGCTGGATGGCGGAAAGTATATATATAATTATAATAAAGTTACAATAAATTAAGTTAATATATAATTATATATACAGTACCTAATTTATATATAATTAATATTTAATTATATGTACAGTACCTAATTTATATATAATACTGTACAGACGATAGCAAACGCAATTTACCCGCCTAAACTTTCCGTAGCGTGGCGGAAAGTATTTTGGCTGCTCGTCCACTATTGGTCCAGATTCGACCAACCTTGTCACGACACGATTCGGCGACGACGTTTTACAAGTCCCTTTATACGAATATTGCCGCAATTTTTTTGCTACGTTATAGGAATTTCCGTTATAGGAACCCGTGTTATAGGGGGGTAGACTGTAAATGAATGGAATCAAACCCTTGGAAACATCATCTATTGTATTGAATAAATTGTGATTTAGTTAGAATTTAGATAAAATGACAAATTTCAAATTATGTGCAAATATTTATTAATACATTTCATATTTTAATTTCAAATAATTAAATTAATAACTCATTTTTTTTATTAGCCACTCTCCATGTGGGAGATGAGATCAAAGAAATTAATGATGTTAGTGTTGCTGATCAATCAATAGATACTATTCAAAAAATGCTGGTGAGTAAATTTATTCAAAATATTTTTTGAAAAATTTGTGTTAAAATTGTACTTACTGTTTACAAAACTTAAGTAAAAATACACTGAACTATATTTTCTATACCATAACAGAAGTTGAACTTGGGTTTTATCTATAGATCATTCTGCTGCTGGTTACAAGTGGTCAGCTTTATGAATGAATTTATCAAACCTAAAAAGATTGAATCAAAGTTTTGTGTTGTATGGGTATTGGCTAAAAATAATAAGTTCATATATATAAACATTCAATCCACTAACCTGAATTTTAATTAAAATCAAACAATCTGCCAGATCATAGGCTTTATTAAGGCTAATTTTAATCACCATACATAAAGTAATTTGTTAATTAATAAACTGGAACTTTTTAATAAACACTGGCATGCACAAAAAACATCTTTCTTACTTATTCTCACAAAGTTTATTCTGAATTGTAAGCATTTTTGGCTGCATTTAGTGGCCTTCTTGAAATAAAAAGCTGTTCCGTCTATCAAACAGTCAACATTTGAAAAGATTTTTTGAATGTTTGATATATGGAACAGCATTTTACTTGAAGAAGGCTTCTAAATGTGGCCAAAAATGTTTGTAATTTACAATAAACATTACTGGAGTAAGAAGGTTTTTTTTATGAGTGTCAGTGTTTAAAGAAATTTGACTAGAGGTACGTGGTTAAACTCCCATCTTGTGATAAATTTATTAATTATAAGTAAATTCATTTTTAATTTTAATTTATAAAGATTTGGAATAAAAGAATTGGTCACACATCTAGTTAAATTACTTTATAAGAAATTTTTAAAATTATTCTTATCATAGTTTGATAACCTAGTAAATCATTTGGCCATAAATTAAGTTTACATGTTAAGTATAATATATAATAACAAGTCATTTATATTCACATTAAATAAACAGTAATATATTTTTAAATAATAATTTATATGTAATGATAAAAATTTCAAAGTCCTTTTCCAGCCTAGGATGGTGTTTAATGTTGTTAAAAGTTTTATAAAAATATAGTTCAATGTTGTTTAATTAATTAAAAACATTTGTGTAATAAAGAATTGATATTTATATTCAGACAATTATACATTCTTATATCAATGTGAAGATTGCTTTTGTATTCTTATGAGGAACAAATTCTAGTGAGTCTTGTGGATTATGGAACTTCCAGATAACCAGTAATAGAAAAATCCTGACATTTAAGTCTGTACATATTAGCACACACATAAGCAGAACAAACATAATTGGATTAAATGAACCCCATATAGTATCAATGCACTTTTTGGAAAACTTTTATAATGTCTTTTTACTTTTTTGTCTGTTATACATAACAGAGGGAAAGTATGGCAATCGGTCAAAAAATGACCCAAGATTTTTACATTTTTGGACTCATGACACTTTGAAATTTTGAGAAATGCCAAATAATTCAGGGGTAATTTCTATATGTACGGATGTTTGTGTGTGTGTTTTGTTAATCCTGTTTGAAGCTTAATAACTCCTGTGCTTTTTATTGAAAATTTCTGAAATTTTGCAGGGAATTTTGTTTATTAGGGGATTGATGCTGTTAAATTTTGGTGGTTAGAGGTTAAGGGACTCTCCCTTGACCTCTAACCACCAAAGTGGAGATAAAAAGGGTCGTGGTTATCTCCAGTAGGGTTGGACTTAATGACGATGTTGCTTGTTATTACCAGTTGCAATTTTTTATAAAATCCATCCTTACCCTGAAAATTAAAGCTCTTTGTCATTTTATAATAGTTAAAAATATAAAAAGGTTTTTTAATAAAATAAGATTACAGATGATGGCACCAAATGTTACCGGAAAAGTTTAGCAACTTGTTGCTGAATTTTTTCTTGTTTTATTTCTCTCTTAACTTTTTAACTCTTCCACAGTGCATTTCACATTACAAAATTTTAAAAAATTATTCCTAATTAATAGAAACATTATTATTAATACTATATATTAAAACAAAAAAACAAAAAAGTATAGTATATTTTGTTTTAATGAAATAAATGGAATTCTGTGATTTGCTATGATGTGAATTTTATGTTTGTCTGCAGGTATAAACTTGTCTACTCTGAATTATTAACATTAAACTAAATAATTAATTACCAGATAGATTATCTTTAGAAAATTATATAGGCAATTAAATTTCTAACCTAAGTATAGCCAAATAAATCTGGCAGTTAGATATTTGACTTAAGATTTTTCTTTCTCATTCAGATAGTTAATGAATTGTGGTGATAGAAAATTTTTAAAAAATTTTAGAATATGGATAATACAAAACACACACACAAATAAAAAATATGAATTTTTTTAAAGCAAATGCTCTGCCGTATTATCATGCTAGATAACCTAATAATATGGCAGATCATTTGCTTTAAAAAAATTTGATTATTGGATTGAATGTTAAAAATAATTTAATCAAAATAATTTATTCTATAAATATTAAAACACTAACCTTTAACTTCAGCCAACAAACCTTAATATCAGAATGTTTTCAAATTTTACCAGGCCCTCTTCAATGCTTCTAAATGCAACATCTTTCAAAAGAACATTTTCTGACACGAATATTATCTTGGATTTTTTAAACATAGAGCATGCCGGTGCACATTAACTGAATGATCCTTTGAAATTCAGACATTGGAACTTGTAAACAAATGTCTTTTTGGAAGATAGCATATTCTAATGGAGGAATAACATTTAAAAGAAAACAAATTTACATGGTGTATAGTTCAAAAAATGGTGTATAAAAACAAGTAGTATGAAATCAAAATTCAAAATAAACAGTAAATCAAAATGACAACAAAGAATAAAAACTAATCCAAATTTATTATAATTCAAACAGAGTTTTCCAGGTTGTGAAAATGAAATTATGGTTCTTAAAATTAATGCACTCACTCTGCTTTTCTTTCAGAAAAGTAAATTTTCAGATGTGTCAGGGACTTTAAATTGCCTTTTTCTCTTACCAGACAGATTAAAGAAGCTTTATTAAACAGAACTTTGGTTCCAGGTTTCAAAAATGATGATATCTCTATATAAATGTTTATTTATGAGATCCAGTATTTAAATTTCAAAGGATCAGTTTGTTACTGGAATGCTCTATATTCAAAAAATTTCAGGTAATATTTATGTTGAAAAATGTTCTTTCAAAAGATGTTCCATTTAGAAGCACTGAAGATAACTTTTAGCCAATTTTCATATTACTAATTACAATAAAGCATGACTTTTAAAAAATAATCATTAAATTCTAAGAATCTCTGGAGTTGCCAATATTATTTTGAAATCAAATATTACCTAATGTGTTTCTGGCTACATATTATTATCTGTCTAAAATGCTTATTTTCAAGTAGCCAAATGTTTAAATCTTTCAAAGAGGAATGTTTTTATTCTATTTTAGGATAGCTTCAGCTTCTTAACATACACAAGTCACTGTTCCAACTGGATTCAAACATTTTTCACATATCAAACAATATTTCAAAGCAATCCATTTTCAAACTTTGTCATTTTTGATGGATTTAACAATAATTCAACTATACATTTTCACTCTAATTTGTTAAAATCAAACCTGACCATAAGCAGTGTTAACATTGCTTCCCAGTTCAGCTAAAAGTGTTAAATTTCACACTTATATTACACTTCCTCCTTCATTCTTCTGTCTTGCAATCCTTTAACTATATCCTTCTAATTTATTGTTTCTAGTACTCTCATCCATCTGGTATCCAGTATTTTTAAATCCTGTGCATTAATGATGCTTAGATGCTTTTGTAAGAAGCAAATGAAACATTGCTCCAGAATTTGTGTATTCTTAATGTCGTATCAGCTTCTAAGTACAACAGGATGTTTCCAACATACTTCTTCTTTTCCTAGGGTCAATTGCATTAAAACTGATCTGTCCATGGGGTATGGGTAATGAATTTGAAATGTTCTTTGACCCTGAGATTCATTGACCTGAAAGTGGATCCTACGTAGAAATATTTGTTACTCCGTTTGCTTAATTCAATTGCGTAAATTCCTGGCTTTTTAACGTTTTCTGTTTTAATTATCTGTGTGATCGAGGGTATTCTTTTAATTACTATTTGGATGTTAAATTTTTTTGCTAGCAGTGTTATCATTTTTGATATAGTTTTGCTGGATACTATACAATGCTTTTTAACTTCTTCATTACTTTTATCTGAGTTGTTGTTTTTCTATGTGCCTCTTCATATGGAATCCTGCAAAAAGTGATATAGGGGTTGATAAAAGCTTTTGGGTTGTCTAAATCAAACAGATGGACATAAAAAGCAAATGACAAATGAGGTAAAAAATGAGGAAGTTAAAAAGAATTGCATAGTATCCAGCAAAACTATATCAAAAATGATAACCCTGCTAGCAAAAAAATATAACATCCAAATAGTAATTAAAAGAATACCCTCGATCACGCAGATAATTAAAACAGAAAAAGTTAAAAAGCCAGGAATTTACGCAATTGAATTAAGCAAACGGAGTAACAAATATTTCTACGTAGGATCCACTTTCAGGTCAATGAATCTCAGGGTCAAAGAGCATTTCAAATTCATTACCCATACCCCATGGACAGCACAGTTTAAATGCAATTTTCCCTAGGAAAAGAAGAAGTATGTTGGAAACATCCTGTTGTACTTAGAAGCTGATATGACATTAAGAATATACAAATTCTGGAGCAATGTTTCATTTGCTTCTTACAAAAGCATCTAAGCATCATTAATGCACAGGATTTAAAAATACTGGATGCCAGATGGATGCGAGTACTAGAAACAACAAATTAGAAGGATATAGTTAAAGGATTGCAAGACAGAAGAATGAAGGAGGAAGTGTGATATAAGTGTGAAAATTAACACTTTTAGCTGAACTGGGAAGCAATGTTAACACTGCTTATGGTCAGGTTTGATTTTAACAAATTAGAGTGAAAATGTATAGTTTGAATTATTGTTAAATCCATCAAAAATGACAAAGTTCGAAAATGTATCGCTTTGAAATATTGTTTGATATGTGAAAAATGTTTGAATCCAGTTGGAACAGTGACTTGTGTATGTTAAGAAGCTGAAGCTCTCCTAAAATAGAATGAAAATGTTCCTTTTTGAAAAATTTAAACATTTGGTTACCTGAAAGTAGGCATTTTGTACAGATAATTATTATAAAACATTAATATTTAAAAATAATAGTTATAGCATAATTGTTACAATAAAATATTAAATACATATACATAGATGATGAAATTGTTAAATTATAATATAAGATTTAATTAATATTTTAGAGAGATGCAAGAGGCAGTGTAACACTCAAGATTATTCCTAGTTATTATAGTGGTCCAGCATTTTGTGAGGTAACATTTTTATTCTGTAATAATTATTTTTAATTCTCATATTTAATTTAAATAAGCAATACAAAACATGAAAAACATCTTATTTATGGTGAATTATAAAACATCCTGAAATTAATGTTAGGTTTTTTTGATCAGCAATTTCAAACAGATATCAATGTCTCAACAGCTGAGGCAATTAACACATCAGTCTACACTCTAATCCCCAGAGTGTAAGCTGATGTGTGTAATTCAGCAATCGTAGGATATTATCTTGAGTAATCTGTCCTGGATATGTTGGGTCCCACCATCCAGCCCATGCAGCCATCCCATTATGGGATGGCTGGATGGTGAGGCTAAACCCATGATGGGTATGGAAAAAAGTTTGTCTTATTTAAAGTATGTTTGCTGGTATATTTTTGAAGGTTTTGTTGGTTTTATTTACTAATATATAACCAGCTGTAGGAAGATTTAGGTCTCTCTTATTGGCCATAGGGCAGAAAAAATTAAAAACAAAAAATCTAACATGAATCTTTAAAATGTATTTAG